ACAGCCTTGACTGGTTTGGCTCAGTTGGCTGAGCATTGTCCAGCAAAGCAAAAGGTTGCCAAGTGAATTCCCAATCAGGGTAAATATCTCAGTTGTGGGTTTGGTCCCTGGTCAGCGCATATACGAGAGGCAACCAATCAATGTTTCTCTCTCACATTGATGTTTCTCTCCCTCTCTTTGTACAATCCTTCCCCTCTCTCTAAAAATAAATAAAATCTTTTTTAAAAACTGGGAAAACAAGTATTATAGGATAGTACTTTATCCCCAGGGTGGCCTTTTCTCCCCTGGCACAGTGCTGGTCGTGCAGTTTAGACTCCCTTAAAGGAGGAACAAGAGGCTGGAGAAGAGCCTTATATGACTCCCATACAAGCCCTTGCACAATCACTCCCTAACGCAATAAGCCCTCAGGACAGGAGATTCAGATTAGCATTATCTATTCTTAGGAGCAAAGCCTGGCATCTGTTGACCACAGAGACAGGATTTTGGTCAAACTAGACCCAAGAACTAGGCCTCAGGTGTGTTTCAGCTCCAGGCTCAGAAAAGCACCAAAACCAGACGAAGTGGCACCACAGCTGACATGAGGTCCAGATGCAATGACTAAAGACCCTAGTGCCAACCAACCAGTAGAGAACATGCCCCTGAAAGAACACATCTGGAAAGCTGCTGAATATTTTAGTAAGATCCTCCCCTGAGACCTTCTCTAAAATTCTTGCCTTTAGAAAACAGGTAAAAACCCTTAAGGCAAGGGACCCAGTGTGTGCTCTCTCTTTCTCTCGGGTAAGCCCACAGCTTTCCCCCCTTTAATCTCTTAGGCACGTACCTTTGCTTTCTTTCTCCTAAACTCTGAGGGCCCTTCTTTTGCCTCTGAAACTTGCTTCCTGAGTCCACGCAGTCCAGGTGCTTCGTTTCTTCCACTTCTGTGAATTTCTAAATGAACTTCTTGCATTAGAGTTCTTGACTCTGAATTCTTTCTTAGCCAAACTCAAGGACTAAGCTCTAACTCTGCCATTGACACAGGCACGATATTGTCAACTCTTAACTAAATTACCTAGTTGCTTGGATATTCCCTTCGCCCAATGGGAAAATGTCAACAAATAACTTTCATAATCTCAGTTCCAGAACCCACAAAAAGAATAATCAGTACAAAAACTCTTTAATGACTAGCTCTGCTCTTTGGAGAGTATATTTGCATTATGTTAGCCTTTTCTTAAAAAGAAAAAAGTAAACCTATTTCTCCTTTGACCTTTTCCACCAATAAATTATTAACAAAACCAAACAAATAAATCCCAATTAAATACCCAACAAAATAAAATTACCAGCAAAAGTAATAAAGAATGTGGTTAATTCTTAGTAAGTCTGCACAAAGGGCCTTGGATAAATTGTGAAAGAATGGAATGTTGTAATTACACTTGGATCGAATGGAGTTTGCTACCAGTGCTGCTAATCCCGCAGGTGAGGACTCTCCTCACTTCTGCTGAATCATCAGACCCAAGTGAACAGTGGAAATTTGTGCCCTGAACTGAAAGGTGTAAAGGTGAAAACAATTTAAACAGTTTCACTGAATTTTTCCCTTTGCTAAAGGGAAGAATCCTTTTGCAAAACCAGTTAATCTTAAACTAGGGGATTTATTCCAAGGCATAGTTCAGACTTTACCATACTTTATACTTAGTGGTTCTGTCAGTAATTCTTTTGTAAATTGATTTTAAAGAAGGGGGAAGACTTTCAAACTCATTTTATGAGGCCAGTATTATCCTAATTCCAAAACCAAGTAAAGACACAACAACGAAAGAAAATTATAAGCCAATATCTCTGATGAGCATAGATGCTAAAATCTTCAACAAAATATTAGCCAACCAGATCCAGCATTACATTAAAAAGATTATACACCATGATCAAGTGGGATTTATTCCAGGGATGCAAAAATGGTACAATATTCACAAATCAATAAATGTGATACATTACATAAACAAAATGAAAGACAAAAATCACATGATCATATCAATAGATGCTGAAAAAGCATTTGATAAAAATCCAGCACCCATTTATGATAAAAACACTCAGCAAAGTGGGAATAGAGGGAGCATAGCTCGACATAATAAAGCCCACATATGAGAAACCTACTGCCAACATCATACTCTGTGGGCAAAAGCTAAAAGCTTCCCTTAAGATGAAGAACTAGACAGGGGTGTCTGCTTTTACCACTCTTATTCAACATAGTACTGGAAGTCTTAGCCACAGCAATCAGATAAGAAGAAATAAAAGGTATCCAAATTGGAAAGGAGGAAGTAATACTGTCATTTTTCGCAGAAGACCTAACAGTGTATATAGAAAACTCCATAGGATCCACCAAAAAAACTACTCATCCTAATGAATGAATTCAGCAAGTTAGTGGGATGCAAAGGCATTTTTGTACACCAATAATGAGCTATCAGAAGAGAAACTAAGAAAACAATCCCATTTACTACTGCAACAACAAAATAAATAAATGAAGTGCCTGAGAATAAATCTAATCAAGGAGGTAAAAGACCTGTACTGAGAAACTATAGGACACTGAGGAAAGAAATTGAGGAAGACACAAATAAGTGGAAACATATACTGTGTTCACGTACTGGAAGAATTAACATGATTAAAATGTCCATACTACCCAAAGCAACCTATAGATTCAACACAATGCCTATTAAAATACCAATGGCACATGTCACAGATCTAGAAAAAATATTCCAAAAATGTATATGGAACCAAAAAAGACCCCAAATAGGCTCAGCAATCTTGAGAAAGAAGAACAAAGTTAGAGGGATCACAATACGTGATATGAAATTACACTACATGTCTACTGCAATTAAAAGTCTGCTACTGGCATAAGAACAGACACATAGATCAATGGAACAGAATAGAGAGCCCAGAAATAAACCCAAATCTTTATGGTCAATTAATATTTGACAGAGGAGACAAGAGCATACAATAGAGTTAAGACAGTCTCTTTAATAAATGATGTTGGGAGAACTGGATTGGTACCTACAAAAAAATAAAACTAGACCACCATCTTACACCATACACCAGAATAAACTCAAAATGGGTAATAGACTTAAATAAAAGTCATGATACCGTAAAAAGCCTAGAGATTAACATAGGCAGTACAATTTCAGACATCTTGCATAGCAATAGTTTTGCTGGTATATCTCCTAGGGCAAGGGAAATAAAGGGAAAAAAATAAACAAATGGAACTACATCAAATTAAAAAGCCTCTGCACAGCTAAAGAAACCATCATTAAAATAAAAAGGGAACCAACTGCATGGGAGAACATATTTGCCAACTATACATTGGGCAAGGGTTTAATCTCCAAAATATATAAAGAATTTATACGACTCAACACCAGAAGACAAACAATCCAATTAAAAAATGGGCAAAGGACGTGAATAGACACTTCTCCAAAGAGGACATACAGAGGGCCCAGAGACATATGAAAGGATGCTCAGCATCACTAGCCATCAGAGAGATGCAAGTTTAAACCACAATGTGGTATCACCTCACACCTGCCAAAATGGCTATAATTAAAACCAACAAACAGCAAGTGCTGGTGAGGCTGTGAAGAAAAGGGAATCCTAGTGTATTGTTGGTGGGAATGCAGACTGGTCCAGCCACTATGGAAAACAGTATGGAATTTCCTCAAAAAATTAAAAATGGAACTTCCTTTTGACCTAGCAACTCCACTGCTGGAAGTATGCCCTAAGAATCCTGAAACACCAATTCAAAAGAACTTATGTACCCCTATGTTCATAGCTGCACTATTTACAATAGCGAAGGTTTGGAAACAGCCTACATGCCCATCGGTAGACAAGTGGATCAAAAAACTGTGGTACATTTACACAACAGAATACTACGCACCAGGAAAAATGAAGGAATTCTTACTTTTTGCAACAGCATGGTTGGAACTGGACATTATTATGCTAAGTGAATAAGCCTGTCAGTGAAAGACAAATACCATATGATCTCATCTATAGGTGGAAACTAACGAACAAAATAAACTAGTGAGCAAAACAGAACTAGAAGCACAGAAACGTGGAACAGACTGACAGCTATAAGAGGGGAGGAGGGAGGTAAGCGCTGACTGAAAGTAGGTGAGGGGATTAGCCAAAGAACGTCTATGCATGACCCACAGACGTGGACAATGGTGTGGGGGCTATGGGAGTGGGGGGCGGGTAGGCTGAGTGGAGGAGGGGAAAGAGGGAAAAATGGGGACAACTGCAATAGCAGAAACAATGAAATATTTTTGAATAAAGAAAGTGCACATTGCAATCATCTTTTTTTTCACTCAAAAATGTGTTTTAAAAGGTTATCGGCTGCAGAGGCTGGTTGTAGACTGGGAATGAATCTAACAATTATGAAAATCCACGTTTACTGACGTTGTAACAGGAGTGGAGAGTAACACGGATATTGGCAAGGGTTGGATGAAACAATAGTCACAAGTAACTAGATTTAAGATTCTCGTCTTAGCTCTTGGGGTAAGCCTGGGCGTTTGAAGCACAGTCTGGATTCACTGGCTCTGGGCAAGTTACTTCATCTCCTGCTTGGAAACTTGGGAGTCCTTGTCTCTAATACTGGGATACGGAGTGCACCTACGCTTACGGATTTAATTAACCTGCGTTATTATGCCTCACGGATTGCAAAGCTACAAATTAAAGCAAATATAGAAACGCGTGGAAGTAAAGCCTTGAACACAGGGGACGCGAAAGTAGAACAAAATAAACCAACGACCTGGCCCCGTATTGGGAAGCCATCCGGCCCGTCCGGATCCCAATCCCAACAGCCGTTGTGGTGTCTGCCCGCAGTCCCCGTAGAGGCCGCTCCCAGGCCCCGAGGCCCCGAGGCGGGGGTGTGGCCAGAAGCCCCCTCCCACGCCTCTCCTCCTTCTGCCCCTTCTCTCAGTCCTCCCTCCGCCTCCACTATGAGGGCTTCCAAAGGCTCGGGGAAGTATTTTTTGCTAAGTTAAGTTTCTTACCTTCTCAGCGTGGGACGAAGCCTCCAGCTGGCCCCGCCTCCTGGTCCTCCGACCCTGCGAAAAGAGGAGCGCGCAAAAGGACAAAACGGTTCTGATTGGAGAGAGCGTGCGTGTATTTACATCCTCGCGAGCCCAGGAACTTAACCTTCCCTTTAGCTAAAGCTGTCGATAGCCCTCCCCCGGTGACTCCGAGGAGGCGTGTCCCGGGCCCCTTTATTTGGGAGGCTCCGTGTTAGCTTGCTGCCTACTGCGAGGGGTGAAGTTTTATGTGTGGAAAGATGTCAGAGGGTGAATTCGCAAAGCGCAGCGACAGCAGCGAGGAAGAAATGTCTGGTGCTACAGTCATCGCTCAGGCCCTGAAAACGCAAGTACGATAGACCTGCTTGGAGGGAATGGGTCCTACGGAATCTGGCAAGGGCAGAGATGTGCTGGAGAAGAGGATAGTGGTGGGAGTGGGAGGGAGGGAGGTTCGCACGAGGTTTTCCTTTTAGCGCCCCGGAGGGAACCGTGTAGCCGGGGCCCGAGCACTGAACCCCTGTTCTTCGCCCCCCTCTCCCCAGGATGTGAAGTACATGTTTGGGGTCGTAGGCATCCCAGTGACCGAAATCGCCGTTGCTGCCCAGCAACTGGGCATCAGATACGTCGGGATGAGAAATGAGCAAGCGGTAAGTATGGACTCTTGACAGCTGTGAGAGGGGAGAGGGGAGGTGAGCACTGGTTGAAAGTAGGTGAGGGGATTAGCCAAAGAAGGTATATGCATGACCCATGAACAGGGACAATGATATGGGGACTATGGGAGAGGGGGACGGGGAGGGGGGAGTAGGCTGGGTTAATGATTAATAAATATGGCAAATATTAATTGCAGACACTCAATACTTACGACTATTCTAATAATTTACACATATCAATAACAAGAATTTTAGGGGACAGGACCTATTAATCCTGGTTGACAGATAAGAAAAATGAGACACAAAGAGGTGAAGTTGCCTGAGGTGACAACTGCAATGGTGGAGCCAGGATTTCAACCCAGGTATTCTGGGTCCAAAGTCCACGCTGTTATCACCGTGCACTGTTATGCTCTGCCAAATGCGGAGTGTCAGTTTCCACGGCTGAATCTGGACCCGCTGCCCTTTACTCTCCTAATTACCTGTCGTATGCTTAGTTCTGTGTATCATTTGTTTAGTCTGACTTTCCTGTTAGTCCCTTAGCTTCCGGAGGGCGAGGATATTATTTCTTCTTGACACACCATAATTAGGTTTTACTTTAGAAAGGTGATTTTGGTGGTAGTACAGAGTTAGGATCAGAAAAGCAGCTTGAAGTTTTACTTCAGCCCCCATAAGCTTAGGTGTGGGCCTCCTTCGGTCCCAGGTGCTTTGTGAGACACTGGCCGTGGAGATGAAGGACAGTTTCTATCCTTGAGGGGCTTATAACCTAGCTGTGGGGGTAGATGTAAACAAACTATTTTATTACAATGTGGTAAATACGGTCATTGAGATACATCCAGGGTGTTGTGGGAGTTCAGAAAAAGGTACCCTGCTCAGCCTAAGATTAGGACTAAGAGGCTTCCTGGAGGAGATGGTGCTGTCTTGAAGGATGAGTAGACATTAACCACCTGGGAAGGAGAGGACAAGCTCTTCTGGAGATGATTTCTAGGTCTGGGCTAGCTTAGCTGACTAGGAGGGTCACAGTGCCCCTGGATCAGGGAATACAGAGAGAAGAGCCAATGGGGCAGGAAACAATAACAAGTTCAAATTTGGACAAGATTAGTGGGAGCTGCCTATAGGATATTCCCAGAGCAAAGGGCCCTCAGGCACTCTGACTCTTGCCATCAGTCAAAGGGAGACTTAGCTAGGGAATGTGAAAGCAGGTTCAGAAACCGTTCAAGAGGCAGAGAAAGTTTTGGTGTCCAGTTGCATAATTGTACTAAAGAGAAAGGTGTAAATTGGTTGTGGCTTGTCTTTCATTAGATCCTTAGAGAAATCAAGGCATATATTGACCAGTTTTCCAGGAAGTAGTCAGACTGTTAGGAATTTAAACGTTATTGAGAACTTACTGTTTGCAGCCACTATTCTGATTATTTCACATGTATTAGCTGTTTTCATCCTCCGAGCAATGCTGTGAATTATGTTCATTTTATAGATGAGGAAGCCATGGTGCAGAGGAACTTGTTAAAATGACACGGTAGAAATTAAGGGAGCTGGCATTTGAATCAAACAGTTTGGTTCCAGAATCTGCTCTCTTAAGTACTACAAACACTATTCGTCCTGTGAGTGAACGTAATTTGGTAGAGAAATGGAATTTTTTATCATCATAAAACCAGTTTCTTTTCAACTTTAACACCTGTTACCAGAGGAATATAATTTTTGTTACAGGTTGTCTTGTATTATGCATTCTGCAGCAAGATTTCTTGCCCTGCCTTAATAAGTGGACAGTGCTCTTGTTTAGCAGATATTTTATTTTATACATTGTGTTTGGTAGGAGTTGCCTTATTATCGTCCTATATGAATTTGGCCTTGTGTGCAAAAGGGAGAAGTGATAAGGGCCAATAGAGAATAGCAACACAGAAAAAGTATGGAGTCTTTGTGCAACTTCAGCTTCTTAGTTGGGCATATGGTAGTGATACCAGTTAGATTATGATTCATTATAATTTATTTTTATATTTTTATGCTTATGTCCTTAATGTGGATATATTTAAGTTGAGTATATCATATATAATGTTGAATGGAAGTTAGAAAATACCAATTTAATATTATTAAAAAAAAAGAGAGAAGAAATAATACTGGAAAAAATTATGTCCCAGACTAAGAAGAAGGATTTTTTCAGGTTATCTTGTGTTAATTAAGCCCCTCCTCTTTCTTCCTATTATGAGCTGAAGAACAGTTTAAAAGTAAAAATTAAGCATCAAGGAAACCTCAACAAATCTCCAAGGGTTGAAAACATACCGTATATGTAACCTGACCATGTAGGAATAAACTAGAATTCAGTAATAGGAAGAATATCCCCAAACATTTGAAAATTAAATAACACATTTGATGCTTTATAAATATTTGAAAAGATTAATAAAATCAATAAACTTCATGGTAGGCTGACCAAGGATAAAAGAGAAATGATACCAATCACTAATATCAAGAATTAAAAAGAAGACTATGGACCAATATCTTGAAGAAGAAATCACAGTGGAAATAGAAAATATTTTGAATTGAATGATAATGGCATATGAAATACCAAATTTGTGATAGCTAAAGCAGTTCTTAGAGAAAATAGTTTCAAATGAAACTATTTGTAAAGTGATCAAAAACTAATGCTCTAAGTTTACATTTTTTAAGAAGCTAGAAAAAGAAAACGAAATTAAAGGAGTAAAATAATAAATATAAGCAGAAATAAATGAAATGGAAAACAAATGAACAATAGAGAAAAATGAATGAAACCAAAAATTGGTTCTTTGAAAAGATTAATAAATTTGATAAAGCCCTAGCAAAACTGATGAAGAATAAAAAAGACATAAATCACCAATATTAGGAATAAAAAAGATCACATTCCTATTGATCCTGAAGATATTTAAGCAATTGTAAGCGGATATTATGAATAAACTGTATCATATGGACAAATTTCTTGAAAAACTAAAAGTTAGATTTACTCCCTAAACGATTATTTGAAATTAACAAGTAGAACATTACTTGATAAAATGGAAGGTGTTCCAATTCCTCCTGTCTAGTTAAGTTCTAGTTTCTGAAAGTAAATTGCTATACATGTACTTACCATAAAGATCCCAAATGCTTAAGTCCCAGTATTTTTTCTTTGTAGGCTTGTTACGCTGCCTCTGCGGTTGGATATCTGACAGGCAGGTAAACTAAAGTTTATGTTTTGCTTCAATTTCTTTTAAAGGTTATCTTAAATGGAGATATCTAAGAAAATACTTTATAAATGTAAAATGACAAATTGAATTATAGGAAGACATCTTTTCCTTGGTGTTTTAAGCTTAGAAATTCATCTAGGGTAAAGCTTTCAAGTTCAATTTTTAAAAATCGGGCAGAACACTACATTTCAGAATTACTTTCTGTCAAAGATCCATTGATATTACATTTATTTGTTAAGAAAAAACATTTTAAACACTTCTTTTTTCTTTTTTCTCACAGAAAAATGTACTCAGCAGTCACAACTCTGCTTCTGTATGCAGTCAGCTTGATTTAGCCAAACATAATAGGAGAAAAATGTAAAGAGCTTAGTGAAATACAATGTGAAGATGATAGGTACCTTATTTCTCGCAGAAGACTGATATCTTTCTCTTTTTTTTTTGTAATGCAAAAATACTTTAATAATTATTTTACCAATTATAGAAAAGATCTATCTGTCCTTGCTTTGAAGTCCAAAAAAGTTACCATGTTTCACCCTAAGTGGTATGAATCAAGTACTGCATTTGACTACTTTTAATAAAATATGTTGTTTTGCTTTTAGGCCAGGAGTATGCCTTGTTGTTTCCGGCCCAGGTCTCGTGCACGCCTTGGGTGGTATGGCAAATGCAAACATGAACTGTTGGTAATTAGATTGTTATTACTGAAAACGTTTTCTTAAAAATGTTAGTGCATGATTTTTACCTAATGGAGCAACTGCTGATCTGGGGTAGGAAGACTTGGAATCAAGTGTTTAAGAGAATGGCTTAGTTAAAAATTAAATTAAGAAGAGTATCAGGAAGAAAATTTAAAAAGTATCAGTAATTTCTTTACCTAGAGATAAACACTTAACATTTTGGAATACACACACGTATACAGGGGTGGACAAAAGTAGATTTACACTTGTTCATATGGAAAAAGACATACCAGTTATGATTATTACAATAGCTTTATTAACTCAAAAGAATGTCATAATGGCACAAAAAAAAAAAAGCCCTACTTTTGCCCACCCTTATATATCTATATCTATATATGTTATGTGAATGTGTGTATAGTTCTGTTTAAGTGGAGAATTATTTTTTAAAGATCTCAGATCAGTATGCAAGAATGTATTTAGCTCTTCATCTTTTCTTGCATAATTAGCAAGATAATTGAAATTCTTATAT